GCACATAACATATATAACACATAACATACAATTGTTCCTATATATTGAACTCACCTTGAAATAACCGAGGTTAAAATATTAATTTGGGCAGCACTTCGGCTCTAAATATGACTTTAGGCGACGAAACCGGGGGTTTTCTTTGAAAACTGGACTTTACTTGGGTAGAGTTTCGACTTGAAAATAAGATTTTCTCGGGAACTTCGGGGCGTTGGGGCTTGCTTCAGATGTCGGGAATGATAACGGGACTTCTGGGGGTTAAAAGTGGCTAAAATGGGAGTAGAGGGTGAAAGATAGTAAAATTTTCCAAACAAAATCGGCAGCCTCGCACCCTATTTATAGGAGTCCAAAGCTGCTGACTACGCTGGGCGTAGTCTTCATGTACGCGGGGTTTACGAGGCGTGGCAGCAGCTCGGTTCCCGGGTCTCGGATGTGGCTCTACGTTGCGATCAAGCGAAGGCGGGCTACGTGGCTGACTCCGGATCGGATACGTGCGAGGTACGTTGGGCGTATCCTCGTGTACGCGGGGCGTACGACCTCGGATAAGATTCCGTTAATACATTGCCTCATTTGGACTTATGTTTGTGATGCATTGGGTTGTTTAGATTATAAAATTTTGTTTAAATATGATATGCATGTGCTTTTTTTTTTGTAATATACTTTTCATTTGTAATTGTAAGTTAGTTAGAAAAATATATTAGATAACAAATTGTAAATAAATGAATACATTGAGAAATGACCATAGAGCCCATTCGAGCATCATGTGTGGATGACGGAGCAAGTAGGAGCCATGCATCATTGTGGTTGTTTATCCCTAGAATGACCTACGGGGCAAACACATAGAAATAAGGCAATGATGACCTTCACTTGCATGTGTTTGTGTTATTTAATGGTGTGTTTGAAATTGTACGACTTGAAAACTTATTTTAAATTAGACCACAAGATTTTGTTAAATGACTAACAAATGACATGAAAATGATTTTGACAAAATAAAAATTAATTCTATAAATAATTAAAATGGTTTAAAAGTTGATTTTTAAAACATTTTAACTGAACAAAGCAGAAACCCATTTTAAAATATAAATCTTATGTTATCCCTTTGGAATATACACTCGTTTTAAGGGTCTTTTTTATAGGAGAGTTCTTGGCAAGCACGTTGGTTAGACATTAGGAGGGAGAAGTGTTGCTACCGATTTCCAAGAGTCTTGGGTCGGGACAAGTACGGTTCAAATGAAAGATTTATTATCTTAGTTTGTGATACACGACAAGCTCGTTACAAAAAGATAAACATAAATGGATTAAACATAAAACCCACCATAAGAGAATATAAACATAGAGGAATTAAACATGCCAATGCTGACATAACATCTTCCATAGCACGTAGCATAATATTGTCCGTTTTGCGCCACCCAACACAAAACTTCACAGTGGGTCACCCATCATGGAATTGCTACTGTCAAGGCACATTTAACTACAAAGTTCTTATGAGACCCTTCACGACTTTAAAATGCACATTATGACATAAAAAGTATCCACACTCCTTATAAGGAATGTTTATTTCGCATTCATAGTGTAACATCCCAAAAATTCCGAATAAATTTTCATTTTTTAAAAATAGAATAAAAACCTATTTTATTAAAGTTACATTCAAGAAGTGTGGATGCTTTCACGTATTGTCTTCATACACTACAAAAAGCTTCCCAATGTCTAATACGACATAAAGATCAATGCTTTTCAGTCATGCATGTCCAATGCAAGTCTAACAATGAAACTAGGTCAAAATGGATAAATAAAACCAAGATCTCATGCATGGATCTCAATACACCAACAAACTTCAAATCTAGAACATATGTCTGCCAAGGGATCTCAATGATCCATAAAGTTGCTAAATTTATGGAATTCATGCACTTAACTCAACCTAAACATGGAGAAAAGTGGGTAGAAACTTAGATTTAGCGTGATATAATTAGAAAGGTAAGATCTTGAGGACTTACAAAAGTCCAAAAATAGTACAAGATGATGATGAAGAGGTTTGCTTGTTGGAACAATGCTTTAGAACACCTTCTTCTTCTTCTTCTTCTTCTTCTTCTTCTTCTTGGGCTAAAATCACCACAAATAGCTCATAAGGTAAAAATGGAGGCTAGGGTTTCTTGGAGGGTGATGGAGGTTGAGGGTGTGCAAACCCTAACCCTCACTTCCCTTAAATAGGGGCACAAACTCCAAAATTAGGATTAAACAATCAAGTGGCTTCCAAGTTGTGACCATCAACTTGTCACATCATGACACACAAGATTGATGCACGTTTTATACAACCATGGCCACATCATGGCACATGGTTTTTCCCCCAAGACCCTATCGTTGATCTCGTTAAGTCCTTAGCTGATATAGTATGGAAAACGGGTGTTACACATAGACAATGTGTGTAGGTAGTCACCCACCTTTACCCCCTTTACAGGGTTCGACATCCTTATTGAACACTGTTGGATTACACATTAACACATGCCCTAACTCTGATACAATTTGTAACATTCCTCATAACACATGTGTTGGTGTGATCAAGTGTAGGTACCCCCCCCCCCCTACAGGGTTCAACATCATTTTTGAGCACATCGATACATCCCCTAACTATAATATAATCTGTAACATTCCTCATAGACGTGTGTTGGGCTAACCGACACAAAAACTTCTAAGTTGATCACCCATCGTGGAATTGTTTTCGCGTGGGCACGCTTAACTACAAAACTTTTACGAGATATGTTGTCCTCATAAATTTAAAACATGTTATGACAAGGAATGTATCCATACCCTTGTAAGAAAATGTTTGTTCTCTTTCCCAACCAATGTGGAATAATAGCCTCTAGTATTAATGATAGCATGAAAGAATTTTGTATTCTCATTTCCCTCGACATCCCATCTAACTTGTGTATTTTGTTTAAGGCAAAGCTTGTTTATCGTATCTAATTTCATGATACGGTTTTTTGAATTAAATCTTTGCATCTTTCAGGGGAGACTAAAGGTTTACATCTAAAAACTGTTTTCACACCATCAATTTTTGATAGTATCCATGACATCGACTTGTTATATAGACCTTGAGTTACCCCTACACACTCTAATGGTAGATCTCACGACCTTTAATTTGTGTAACATCACTTGATCCCATTTCCCAATATGATCCGATCCAAGCAAAAGCATTGGAAAAAACATCTATAGGTCCATCTAAAAGTAATCATGAATTGAAATTTATCAAAGGTATTGGGACATAATCCACTACTGGACTTACAACAATTAATAGGTTATGTTCGAAGTGCCACATCAGTAAAGCTATGACTGAAGGAGTATCCTAACAGGCCATAAAATTGTTGTAAGCCAAAAGCGAGCCAATTAAGTTAACCTCATCATCCCTCACATATGTAATAGAAATTAAATATCATAATTTATATTAAAAACATTTTAGCGTATAAGAAAACTCTCATTTATATTGAAAAAAAAAAAGAAAAACGGAACGTAAACTCATGTTTATCAAGGAAAGATTTTAAGTGGATGAACATCTCGTGCAATGTTTAAAGGTTTTAGATGGTGTTTGTGATTGAGTTTCAAGAGTGCTTAGGCCAAACGGTATAGAAGCAACGATACAAAATTGTGGCCATGTGGAGGGTGTACTACGGTCGTGCGTACTATCCCTGGATCCACGACCGTGGTGGTTTGTGGAGGGTGGCAGGGATATATACGACAAACCAAACAGAAAGTCTATATCTATCTTAATCTTTCATTTGTCTTTCTTCCTTTTATTCTTTCTCTCTTCCACAACTCTATATCTATGTAGGGATTACTCCATTTAATCATCCATGTTTTAGTGGTGGTGATTTTGGCTGAGCCTGAAGAACCCACGCCCTTTAGCATGGGTTGTATACCTCATGGCCTTATTTTCTTATTAGTTTTCAAAAAATACAGATCCTACATATGTAAACATCCTACAATATCACCATTTTTTCTCTAATAAATATAGATCTTGTAGGACATGTCGTCATCTCATTCATTTTGCTACATTTTAATTTGTGGTCATTTTAAATTAATTTCTGTCTACATGTCATTTGATGGGTTTTCCATTTTAAAAAATTTCATATAAATGGATATCTATTTAATTAATGAACTTATTTTTTAATTTCAAAATTCCCAAGACTGATGAGTGTCAATCACGCATACCACAATTTTGTATTGTCATTTCATTTTTTTCATTCACCTTATAAAACCGGTGGGTATCACAACACACCTCACCACACCCACCACAATACATATTTTTATGCATAAAGTACCACCTTTGAGGGTTATACCGTGCAGTGAAACCATAATGCATGACAAACTTACTACAGTGGAGCAAGGAGGTCAGTGCAATGTTGACCGCACACCGCAATGCCACATCAAATACCGCAGTGTGTGGTATCATGTGCATAGAGGGGCCTAAATTAAAGACTCATTAATTTCGTTTGTTTATTTGTTGAATTATTTATTTAAATTTAAAAGAAAAAAACTCTTTAATTTTCATAATTCAATATTTTTTCATTTTTTTTATTAATTCAAACCTCTTAATAGTTAGACCTTTATATTTTAACGTTTTTTTTTTTAAATAAGTTCATGTAACTTTGTATTTAACTTTTTTTTTTTAAATAAATTAATGTAAAACAACTAATTATAGGTTATCTGAAACCAATCGTTATAATCATTTTATTTAACAAATAAGACGAAGCATCAATTACATCATTTAAAAATTTATAATAAATTATATTTACGTTATGGCTCTTTCACATTCTAATTTGCATAATAGTTAGCTTATCATAAAAATATATAATTCGGTAATTAAAATGTATTATACAATGTGAGTAGCCAAATAAATATAAATAGATATTAATAACAATACAATATTTTTTTTTCCTGTACCACGTTAGTATTTTTCCACATATACACAACTTTAATCCAGTGATATCTGACCACGTGTCGTCCCGTAGCAAGTATCCTCCCCCAATTGGGATCGTGAAAGACATTAAAGAAACCCTAATTAAAATTTGCATTCTCCCATATGTGTCCCACTCGTTTCAATGCCAACAGTATATATACTACATGGACTTCATCACGTCAAACCCACCTGTTTGTAAATAATGTTAAAAGCTTAAACACTCGTCTGATTCAATTCTCCTCTCTGTCAAAACCAACATACCTAATATTCTTTCTTTTTCTTCGTCTCCACAGATCCTTATAATCATATTAGCCACTTTAAATTGTACATAAAAGCTTCGTTTTTTCTATACATAAAGAGAGAAGGAGAGCTTTTTTGGGGGTTGAATCGCTTCCTGCTGTTGAATTTTGTTTGGGTAGCGGTTCCATTTATAGAAAAGTTTGAATTACGATGGGGCCGCCTCTGTGCGTATTGGTGACCGGTGGTGCTGGGTATATAGGGAGCCATACTGTGCTGCAGTTATTATTGGAAGGTTACAAGACGGTGGTTGTTGATAATTTTGATAATTCGTCTCATGTTGCTATCCATCGAGTTCAGAAACTCGCCGGTGATTATGGACGTAACCTGTCTTTTCACAAGGTTAAAATTCTTTCTGGCCCCTTTTCATATTCCACGTTCGTGGATAATTCTTCCCGAGTTTTTAAAAGATTCGGTGTTTAATTTCAGTCTATTATTTGCTTGCATGTGCGATTTGTTGGGTTTTGAATTAAACAGTTGATTGACTAGGTTCTTTACTGGATTGAAAATCGACAGTTTTACCCTTAGAATTTTGCGATACCTTCCTTTCAGAATTGATTTTGTATCCGACAAGTCAATTATTAGATGTAATTGAGGGACTTTATGTCCTCGTTTATTTGATTGTAGTCCTTTTCAAAAAAATAAAATAAAAATATCCAGTAAATAATCGAGTTAGGGTTTTTCACTTAGATGTATTTACTTTACTATCGTGAGTGTTGAATTGTTAGGTAGCCAAATTAAGTTGTGATTCAGGTAATGCCTTTTTAGAAGTTGATTGATGGTACAGTTTAGGTTTAGTTAGGAGTTCCAACTATGTTGGTGGCAAGTCTACATCCAACTGAAAAAGCTGGTTAAAAAATTTATTGTTAGAGCACCTCAGTTTATCTTTTTTATTTTTTTTTATTTTTTATCCTTATGTTTTTTCTTCTGAGCAAACTGCAAAACAATTATTTTTACAGCAACCCCTTACCTGGTCCACACCACCATAAATTATGCTTTTTTTTTTTTTTTTTTTTAATATCAAAGATTCTAATGTTTCTTCTTCACCACAGATTGACATCCGTAATAAGCCTGCATTGGAGGAACTTTTTAAATCAACAAAGTAAGTTTTCCTTTATATCTATTGGATTTTTATTTGTTAAAGTTCTTGCCAAGTGTACGAAATTTGATTATGATATCCATGCAGGTTTGATTCTGTTATTCATTTTTCTGGATTGAAGGCAGTTGGTGAAAGTGTGAAGAAGCCCTTGATGTATTATGATAACAATATCATTGGCACTTTAACTCTATTGCAAGTTATGAATGCCCATGGATGCAAGAAGGTATGATACCCCTTTATTATTATTACACTCAAATCTGACAAAAGACATGAACACCCTCCTGATTGCATAATCTGTTATGAAACATTTCAGCTAGTGTTTTCATCATCAGCCACTGTTTATGGATGGCCAAAGGAGGTACCATGCACTGAAGATTTTCCTTTATCTGCAGCCAATCCATATGGAAGAACCAAGGTATGATGATTATCAAATAATATCAAGTGCTCATTTTTTAAGTGCTTGCTTACATTACAAGTAAATACTAATGGAATGAATGAATGTCCCTTCAGCTGATGATTGAGGAGATGTGTCGTGACATATATGCTTCAGATTGTAAGTGGAAAATTATTCTGTTGAGGTATTTCAACCCAGTTGGGGCCCACCCTAGTGGTGATATTGGTGAGGATCCTCGTGGGGTTCCAAACAATCTCATGCCATTTGTCCAGCAAGTAGCAGTTGGAAGGCTACCTACACTTACAGTCTTTGGAACTGACTACTCCACCAAAGATGGAACAGGGGTATGTATGTATGTTACTTTAATGTTTCTACTCTTTTCATTATTCTCAATCTTTCATTTCTATTTCAGTAAAGATTTATGCTTTCTGCATCTATCTATACTTTGGCTTGGTTTCTTTTTGTGTTGTATGCTCTGTTTCATAAACCTTGAAACATTGTGTCTACTATGCAATTATTGGGAAATGTTGGAATTTGACATTACCTTATTTGAGGCTCTACTGAGTTTTCCTCCTGTTGTTGTTGTTTGTTGGGAATTATGATGTTGATATTTACATTTTCAATCCTCAAATTTCAGGTACGTGATTACATCCATGTTGTAGATTTAGCAGATGGGCACACTGCTGCTTTGAAGAAACTCTCGGACCCTAAAATAGGTGTGTATCTCTTTCTGATTGCAGATGACATTTTGTAGTTTTGGAAATTTTGTTTGTTTTTGACATTAAATCAAACCATTATCTGTTTTTTAGGCTGTGAAGTCTACAACTTAGGAACTGGTAAAGGCACATCTGTGTTGGAGATGGTAGCAGCTTTTGAAAAGGCATCAGGAAAGGTATTACAGTTACAATCTTGAAAATATGTTATCAAGTTTCTATCCAATCTATTTGTTTATTTTAAGAAAATCTACCCAATTATAGCAATCTTATCCAAATCCCAACAGTTTTCACTGCTATAATGATAATAAAACCGAAAGTAGAATGGTGTAGATAACAGGGAAGATTTTGAATAATGAGAATATTTTATGTGTAGAAAGGCTTACATGTAATGTTTGTGTTTGTCCAGCGAATTCCTATAGTGACAGCTGGGCGTCGACCTGGCGATGCTGAGGTGGTATATGCATCAACAGAGAAAGCAGAACGCGAATTGAACTGGAAGTAAGTAGTGATCATCTTATTTTTACTGCTAATATGAATGAAACATAGACATGATGTGAATGTGATGTCACCTTAAATCGTGCCTACGAAAAGTCAAAAAAGATAATAATTTATTTATGGTTATGGTTAATTGGTTATTGCAGGCCAAAGTATGGGATAGATGAGATGTGCAGAGATCAGTGGAATTGGGCCAGCAAGAACCCGTATGGTTATCTAACCAAAGATGAAGATGAAGCCAAAGCCAAATCCAAATCCAAAGAAAAGTAACATAGCTTTTGCACTTAATAGTTACTATTTAATTAGGTTTAGTCGTATCAGCTTTTCTTTCTTTCTTTCTTCTGTAAGTAATTACTAGTTGGTTGGTTGGTTGGTTGGTTTTTTTTTAATGGTTTTTGTCATAGAAGTTAAGTTAAGGTAGCCTGGCTAACGCAGTAAGTAAAACTTGGTAAAAAAAAGTCCATTATCTCGTACAAATAGATGGGTTTCTAGTTTCTTGTATATGGAATATTTATGGTATTTGTGTAGCAGTGGGTAGGGATATGGTGTCGTTTCTTTTATTCGTTATATTAAAAAATGTTTTCAGTAAAGATTTATGCTTTCTGTATCTGTACTTCCGTTACCTCTTTTGGGTTGCTTTTTTTTTTTTTGCAATCTTATATATGTTGTGTTTTATGGTTTTTCCACACAAGGATGGTGTCTTTTTGCATCAAGATTCACGATCATTGTTTGTTAATTAATAAGCATGATATCTTAACTAAGAGGTTAAGTTAGGTTGGCTCTTTTTATGTTTTTGATGTATAGATTTGCTGGAATATACCAGACAAATACTGTGTTCCGATTCTAAATAAAAATAGATTGGCCGATCTGATTTGTTTTAAGCCATGGTTGGACTATCATCTAATTAAAATATATTCCAAATCAGTGGGGTTTCCAA